CTACCCTCGGGGCCGAGGATGCTATGCCCTTTTATACCAAGGCCATAATAGAGGGTGGAATTAGGTTTCCTTTACCCTCATACTTCTTCAGTTCCTCTCTCACTTCCGCCTCTTCCCCGGGCAGTGTTGCCTTAATCTCTTCAGAATAATTATGGGGGTCTTAGAGCTCAATAGGCGCCTCGGGGTAAATATTGGGCTGAACGATCTCCTTTTTTGTTATTCCCTCTTGAGAGTCATGCCTCCCCAACACTTCTACCTCAAGGCAAGGGCCCCCTCCATGTACCTTGTAACTCATCTTCCCGACTCGGACAAGGGGTACAAGGANACCAAAGAATTGGTCCATTTTTTCTCTTTAGAGAAATAGTTTTTTAGTAACTTTTCATGTTTCTATGTTTTGGTTGGGAAGTTGGTCTGAAATTGTCCAAAAGGAAAATTCCCTTCTATTTTCTTTCCTTGTCATCATTCATTCATTCGAGTTTAACTTGAACAAAGCATTAATAATTTATAGGTTTCAATTTAATCTTAACTAGTTTTTATTTGTACAACGATAATTTTATTCAATCTCACAATATTATAATTGATCCCGAAAGACTATTGGACAGAATTTAGCTTAGACTTTTCTTTTTATCCCACAAAAATCAGACTCTTTTGTCTCCTTTCTTATTTATCTATTTTCCTCTCAATTAGAGATAAATAATGCTCCGTTTGGTAAAAATGATAGAAAATATGAGAATACACTTTCTATCACTTAAGGAAGGAAACACTTTCATTCATTTGTGCTTGATAAGATAGATGAAAAGTAGAAATAATTAATTTTTTCGAGTTTGGTATTGCTGAAAAAAATAAAAAGATAAAAATAATATATATACGTAATTTATTATTTTATCCTTACATGAGATTAGTTTATATATTATACACCATGTCACTATAGTATATGTGTCATGTGTTTTAACAAACACAAATCACATGAAAATACATCTATTTTTTTATTTGATTTTTTAAATAAAAAAAATAAATAAAAAACTAATATACACACACACACACACACACATAAAGTGTTAACACATAATGTAATTCCATTGATTGGTATATGAGTTGGGTTTAGGTGTTTAATGTAAATAAGTAATTAATTAAAGGTTAAAAAAATAAATAACATATTTTTATCTGATGTGAGTACTATTTTTCTTACTTTTCTGCCCAATTTTGGAAAGATTGATTTTGGTGAGTTAGAAGAAAAGTTCATCCATCCACTTTTTCATCCTTCTAATTGTTCTTCCTTACCAAACATGTTGTTTCATCTATCTCTCAAACTTTTTATCTTTCCAAATTTCAATCATTATATTTTTCAATTGTACTAAACAGAGCATAAATATATGCGCTTACATAAATAATATGTATATGTATGTATTTATATATTTAAATATGGTACTACATAAACTGTTAGGTATTATTGAAGTTTTAATTAAAATAAAAAGTATCCTTCACAATATGATGATGGTGTGACTCAAATTTAATTGTTATTGTGATAACCGAGTCTCGACTCGAACTAGATTAAATAATTAAAATTTTATGAGTTATACGATATTGTTAGAAATTATACGAATTCATTTGGGGTCAAGTTATAAGTTAGAATTTAATTGTGAAATATTTGATTATTATAAATTTTATAGTGACCAAAATATATATATATATATATATATATATATATATATGAAATAAAGGATAAGTGTAACTATGAAAATATGGGCTAGTCTTCAACGTGAATGAATTAAAAGTTATGGAATGAAATTAGATAACAAAACAAAATAGAAGAGATAAGTTAAAAAAAAATGGGCGACTATAAAAGAAAGTGTGCGTGCAAGATCCTGCACAATATAAAAAACGAGAACAAATCTCTCCCTTGGTGAACTCGAGTGAG